GAGGACCCCCAGGAGGCCAGCGTCCCTGCGGAGGTGGCTGCGCTGGGACCGGACGCCTTGAGACGCGCTCGTGGGCTCGCGACCCCTGCTTTCCAGGGTTTCCATCCAGATTCCACAGAGGGAAAGCAAGGTGAGTTGGTCTTTCTTTTCCTCTTTGCAAAAGAAAATGATTGTTCCGGAGAGAAAGTTTGTGAAACAAGCAGCCTTGCCCTGGAGGCGGACAATAAAAGTTGTTTAAAAAGCTCAGCCAGTGGCTCAGTGGTGGAGCCTCGACCTATGAACCAGGAGGTCACCATGCAATTCGTGGTCAAGGGCACATGCCCAGGTTTCGGGCTTGTAGGAGGCAGCCGATTCATCATTCTCTCATTATTGATGTTCCTCTCTCTCTCTCTCTCTCTCTCTCTCTCCCTCTACCTCTCCCTTCCTCTCTGAATCAATTAAAAATATATTTTTAAAAGTTGTTTAAAAGAAGCACTAAGGTCTGGAAAACTGCTCTGCAATAGGACGTGAATGAGGGTGGCTGAGACCCATCACATTCACTTTGGAAAAGCTTTCAGTTCCTTCCAGTGGTTCTCAACCTTCCTAATGCCGCGACCCTTTAATACAGTTCCTCATGTTGTGGTGACCCCCAATTTCATTGTTACAAATTGAACATAATTAAAGCATAGTGATTAATCACAAAAACAATATGTAATTATATATGTGTTTTCCGATGGTCTTAGGCGACCCCTGTGAAAGGGTCATTCGACCTCCAAAGGGGTCGCGACCCACAGGTTGAGAACCACTGCTGAGTTTAGGCGATAGGATACGATAATGAAAAAAGTGAAGGGTGAGTAATAAGATGAGCAACTTACTTTAGGAATGGAGTTTGTGCCCCAGGTTCTGTGACTTGGTGTGAGTAGTCATTGAGTGAAAAGCTTAGTGAGAGGGGCTGCGTTTTGAGCTTGACCCGCACTGTTTTCAGCTATAAAACCAGAGTCAACCTTCTGATCTTGTGTGGGAAACTCACTGATAGTTGAGAGTAGGTTCCTAACCTTTGGGGCAAATTTCTGGAGCCAGCTAGAAGTGGGGAAGAGACTGACATCCACCAAAGCCTCTTTTCATCCCAGTCTCTTCAAAATTTTTAAGCATTCCACCCCAATCCTCATTTGTCAGCCTCCTAAAGTATAAAATGTTCTAATATTTGAAGTTTCAGCTCTTCCTATAGGGGAAAAAATTTCACTTCTCCACCATGTGAAAACACAGATAAGAATTTCAAAGTCCAATATTAGGGATTTCTTACCCAAGGAGTTTTAATTATTTTTTTCTTATTTATCAGCTACAAATAACTTTAATTCACTGTTAGGTCATATATATATACATACACACACACACACACATGTATACACACACACACATATGCATACATATCTACATTTGACTAGGGTTATTCCAAATTAACTTTTCCTGCTAATGTAAATCGCACTGTATTTTAGTGAATTGCATAATCCTCCACAGGGCCCACTTGCAGTGAAAATGTTACCAGTACTTTTTTTTAATAAATCCAAGACAAGTTGTATTATATGAAATTGTACGATAATGATACAGTAAGTTGTTAATTAGAAAATGTTCCTAGATTATGAAAACTGCAGATCTTATATCACAGGATGTGCTTTTGATAAAAAACTATTTCTGTATTTACATAAGGCATATATGATTTTTTCACCTATGCCATTTTTTGCCCATGTTTTAGTTTATTTCAGCAGACAAAATAGACTTTAAACATTTCTTATGAAAAATCAGAGAGGGCTGAAGAGCAGAGTTATTAAACAAAACTACTATAAAAAAGAAGTAACAGTTAAAATTCTACAAATTAAATTGACAGTGGGATCTGGCTGACAGACCTCTGCTGCATACTGATTGATGTATTTTTCTTGGAGGGGTCCCAAAGTGTTCTGTTCCATAGGGTCAATTATGTTATTTTATTCTTTGGCTCAGTTGACCCCCTTTTTTGGAAGACTAGTTTCACGGCTTTTCTAAACTGCCTCTTCTTACACAATATCCATGAACTGTGGGAAGGCACTTAATTTACTCATTCATGAGACAAAGACTAACAGTGATTCAGAGGGGAATAAAGATTTCCCTACACAAAAGGACCTTATATTCAAGATGAGGAAAACTATACACATCCAAAAACTACAAGACATAATATACAATGATAAAAGCAAAGAGGTAAAAAGAGCAATAGGAGTTGAAAGAACAGAGAGATGATATAAATGATATCACAGTACTTTAAAGACACCGTATTTTCTAGAAGGTTTCATGCAATCTGTATTTTATTGCATTATATTATACTCCATAAGTACAATGTAATGACAACATATATATGTATACATATAAATTGCTTTAGAGGTGAAATTTTGAGGCCTTACATGTTCAGGGGGATATATTTAGTGAATCATCCTTGAAAATAAAATGGAATGGCAGACCAATGCCAATCTCTCTCCACATGGCAGAATTACATCAAAAGAATTTTATTGTTTTATTTAAAGTTGACAATATTAGAGTTGTTGAAATTTTATAGGAGAAACATCCTTTCTTTTGTTAAATGTTTGAGGTAATGACAGCATTTTAGTGATCAAAATTTTCAATTGTGCACTGACTTTAATTTTAAAATAAATCCTAGATATTATTTTAGAATGTAGGACCTCTCCTTGAGAAAACATAGGAGTTTTGCAAATCACGGTTGCAAATCACTGCTTTAGGCAATATTTGTTTTGTTGCATTCATAAGAAAGTAGAATAAGAAAGTTTGACTGAAATTTTCTGAGTATCCCATTTGACAATTTACTCTTTGAAAATGGAAATGAGATAAAATATGTCTATAGTATAAACCAAAACAAAAGTTACTTAGTGAATATATGCATTATTATTTTCCTAAAGATATTCTTGTTTTATTAATATTCATGCTCAACCAGTTGAGGTAGAAAAATCAGATTGCTCTGTAAAAACATTTTTTGGAAAATTTCCCTTAAGATTACAAGGGAGTTGAGATTTGAAATAAATACCTAATGTATTATTTTTACCACACACTTTGAAGGTCCATACAGATTACAATAGTGCAATAGTGCTGTTTCTAATTTTCTTTTAGAAACAATTTGACTGTAATCTCTTTTCTCGATATTTTCATAGGATTGAAAAGGAAAGCCTGTATTTCGCAGAGGATTATAAAAAATACCAACTCTGTATCACCTCTCACTAAAATGAAGTGTGTGACTGGTGTGACTTGAGATTGGTACAGCAGTCATTATTATTGGCTTAGATTTGATATGGAGTAAACAATTTTGTTATTTTTTCACATTATTCAGGTAATTTAGTAGAAACTTGCTAATGTGAGCATTAAAAACCAATTGTAGAAATGTAGCATTAATGATTAAATAGAATATTCATTTTCATACTCAGGTTGCTTCTTCTTTTGACTTCTTATCTAAAACATAATTATTTTACTCAGTTCTGTTTGCATCACGTCATTGTGAAAAGAAGACTCACTTGGATAACAGCAAAACTTAAGTGACATTTACGAAAACTTCAAATTGCCAGTGTGCGATATTGGGTGTTACATTAACAATTTGGGATAGCAATGGACTCTCATTTCTGATTCCAAATTACTACTGAATATATGTATTATTTAATTTTGTGATCTTGAAATGGCATAATAAATAGCATTTTCCCACTATTCCAACATTGGCATTTCCAAATGAGCTTTAAAAATTTTTATTCATTAAAATTTCTTACAGTGAATAAGTATTACTAATATACTATGCGGGAATGAATTATTCTATCCAGCATTGTTTTTGAGTAGGCAGCACGATGTTCTGGGAAGTTTTTCCTTATTTGATTCCTCTTTTTTTTTTCTTTTCCCCCAGAACACAAAGAGAGTAAAAGTGACTCATACCAGAATGGACAAAAAGAACCAGTCTCCAAACCTCATCAACTTACCCTGGAATCATCTCCTAAGCCTATTGGTGTCATTGGAAAACACAATCTTAGGTCATCTGTTTCAGAAAACTCAACCAAGGAGGATAGCGTTGTGTCTCCTCACCCTGGGGAGCAATCAGGAGGTGAAGAGAGTCCCAGGTCTCTCTCATCCTCTGATCTGGAATCAGGAAATGAAAGTGAGTGGGCCAAGAACTTCACTGCTCCCCGATCCAGACTTCGCACCGTGTCCTCAAGACCAAGAGATCCTCTTGACATCCTTACCAAGATCTTTCCAAGTTACAGGCGCAGCCGGCTGGAGGGCATTCTGCATTTCTGCAAAGGGGATGTGGTCCAAGCTATCGAACAGGTCCTCAACGGGAAAGAACACCAACCAGACAGCAGGGACCTCGCGAGCTCAGGAGAACTGGGAAATGCAGCTTTCCAGAGAGCTTCAAACTTTAGTTTAGCTGGAATTGGTTTTGGAACTCTAGGGAGTAAATCAGCCTTCTCTCCTCTTCAAACCAGTTCTGCTTCCTATGGTCGTGATTCAAGTCTCTACAGCTTAAGTCCTAGACTAGGTGTCAGTCCATTACGGCTGGCGTATTCCTCTCCAGGAAGAGGGCTACCTGGTTTCATGTCTCCCTACCTCACTCCTGGGTTGGTACCAGCTTTGCCTTTTCACCCAGCTTTGGATTATGCCTTTTCAGGGATGATTCGGGATGCTTCCCACCATCCCAGTAAAGACTCTGTAACTGGCAGCAGACTGTGCTCCAGGCTGACTCAGGACAATCTGTAACACACCCGCCTGTTCTCCCTTTCTGAGGCATTTCTAGAAGGCAGGCAATGCAACCCCACACCTACACCCACATCCACATCTGTTAATGTGCTCACTATGTAGGTGAGTGGATTACCAGGCCTTAAAGATGCTGTTTTTTAAAAGCAATATAATAAACTTGATATTTAAAGACTTCTTTAGCATTTATTAAGTGAAAGAAACATTTAAACGTTGTATGTGCCTTGAATAAAGCCATTTCAAGAAATACTTTTATTTTAAACTAACACATTTTCTCCCTAAAATATACATTGTTAAATTTCTATTTTAAAACTGTACTTGTTTTTATTTTATTGAAAACTGGAGTTTGTAGTTGTAAAATACATTTGTAAGCATAAAACAATCCAGCATTATATAAAATTAACCAAAGGAAGAATTGAAAAATTGAGGTACTTCTCAATAATTATTGTTTTAAACTTTTTCTTTCCTTCTGTTCCTTGTACACTGGAGAGAGAAAAAGTTACTCAAAGTATTTTAAAATATTTTATTCACATATAAATGATTAGTAATAAGTAAAACTTTTGAGAAATTTAAATTCCTTATTTTTTTCTGAATGTCTTATTTTTCATTCGTATCTGTCATTTGTGATAACAGTACCATTAATAAAACATTTCTCTTTAAAGTGAAGGTTGTGAATCACACAAAGGCCAATGAAGTAAATCTTAGAAAACGAGACTCCGCCATCTCCTGGCCACTATCACTAATTGCAATTCAGTTCTGATAGAATATAGGAATTAGCTAATTCATATAAGGTAACCATTTTTTGACACAGTAACTTTAGATTATGCTACATAGAAATTGTCACATTATAAAGTGAACATTTGCTGTGGATGAGAATTTTACCTTTTAGTGTGCTATGCCTATATCTGGGAAAATGCTCTTTTCTATATGTTTGTGACAAGAATATAGCAGTCATTCTCAAAGGTAAAAATGTTATTCAGAGAATTTAAATAGCTCTTCAGATAAATATTGACTATTGATAGGAGATGCTTAATTTCCAAAGGGAAAAATTGTCATTAACTTTTAAAAGTTTTCTCGAGATTTAAAAAATCTGGAGCATTTGAAAGCTGTTTATTTCAGTCAATGAAAAGTCCCTGAGAAAACTGATTACAAAGCAATTTTATGAATTTTTTTTTAATGTGTCATCATTCTTTTTAAAGGACAACAGCTTTATTGTTATTGTTAGGAATAAATAGAAACCCAGCTGTGGTGTAAGATAGTTGGCGAATGAAAGATGGTTTAAACAGTGTGAGCATTATGATTCACTAGAGATTTCTTAAATTATATGTATGCGTGTGTGTATAGACACATATATGTATAGACATATATATATATTATTCACTCAAGCCCCATCAGTTCTGTCATCTTGAAGCCTTTTCCATGAAGCCAAATAAGAATATATTTCAAAAGTACATTTTACCAGCAAATATAGTAAATGACTTCATGGTATCTAGCACTGATTTAGAATGTAAATATGTTCAGTAGAATATGCATTAATTTTAATGGTGTGAATTTGAGAAAGCAGATTCTGTAAAAATTTGATGCAATTAACATTCATTATTTATAAAAAATATTTTAGATTCTAAGTCTGAATCATGGAACAATGCCTGGCAAGTAGTTGATATTCAATTGCTGCACACTGAGTGAAGAAAACTATTTTGGATAGTAGAACTCATTGAGAATCAGATAAAACCAAAGAATTATGCCAAGTGGCCTTCAGACCCACAGTTTTGCATATAATTTTATGGGGTTTTTGAATCTCCTAAATGTCATTCAGGTTAGAATCCTTGGTTGTTCTTAAGTTGTTTTCATTGTATGAATTCATTTGCTGAATACTATTTTTTTTGAAAAGTGCTAGATCTTATAGAAGATACCAAACATCAAATGTTGCATTCTTAAAGAAGTTACATTAAACAATAGAGCTCTAGTTTAAAAATACAACAATGCTAGAATTGCTAAATTCTTTATGTGTTTTACATAATGCTGTGCATGTGTCCATTTGAGAGACTAAATTGCTTTGAGACTGGAGAACATCTATTTTTGGCAGTATTCAAATTAAAACAATAATTTTACAGTCTTAAAACTTAATTTATATAATGCTTGATATGTTTCATACTTCACAATAATTTCATAATTTAGATAATTTTATAGAATAGGTGATAGACTCACCTTTCCCTAGAATGTGATTACTAAACCCACCCGTCCCTGGAATGGCGATGACTTACTCTAAATATGATATGGCCCCAACCCAGAAGGAACACCTTGTATAGACATATACCTGGACTAACCAACCAGCTCTCGCCAAGAACCCCAAGCCCTTGTGCCTTCCTCATTCTCCTTAAAAAGAGTTCTAACTGCTGCACGGGCTGCTGTTCTCCCTTTGCAAGACAGCCCGGCAGGTCTTTCCTCTAATAAAGCCCGTGTCACCTGGTTTTCGGCCTCCGAATGCTCTTTCAACAGGTAATTTTGTTCAACCATTAAGTTGTATGTGAGGAAATAGTGGCTCAGCAGTAGTGTTGTTCATCTCCAGTGTTACAACAATCTACACTAATAAAAGAGAAACATGGTAATTAGCGTACAACCGCTACCCTTTTCATTGGCTAATCAGCATATCCTTATGCAAATTAACTGTCAGCCAAGATGGCGGCCGGCAGCCAGGCAGCTGGAAGCGAACATGAGGCTTGCTTGCTTCAGTGAAGGAGGACTCCAACATTCCCCCCATGACTTGCCGGCCTCTGAGTTGGCAGTTTGAAACATTCTAACAAATATAGAAGCTAAACAAAACCCCAGAAAGAAGGCCGGGATCTCAGAGCTGGAGTTATACATTGTTTCGATTATAGAACCGAAACAAACCAGATACCTTCTTTCAGCAGCGGAAGCCTCAGAGCTAGAGCCAGAGCTAAAGCTGGCCCAGAATAAAATAAAAAAAAGAGAAAAAAAAGGAGCGGTTGGGAGCTTCAGTCAACAACCGCCAGCCTGAAAGCAGCCCTCAGCCCCTCACCCAGACTGGCCAGCCACCCCAGTGGGGACCCCCACCCTGAAGGGGGTGTGACCAGCGGCAAACAGCAATCATCCCCTCATCCAGGCTGGCCAGGCACCCCAGTGGGGACCCCCACCCTGAAGGGGGTGTGACCAGCGGCAAACAGCAATCATCCCCTCATCCAGGCTGGCCAGGCACCCCAGTGGGGACCCCCACCCTGAAGGGGGTGTGACCAGCGGCAAACAGCAATCATCCCCTCATCCAGGCTGGCCAGGCACCCCAGTGGGGACCCCCACCCTGAAGGGTGTGTGACCAGCTGCAAACAGCCATCATCCCCTCATCCAGGCTGGCCAGGCACCCCAGTGGGGACCCCCACCCTGAAGGGGGTGTGACCAGCTGCAAACAGCCATCATCCCCTCATCCAGGCTGGCCAGGCACCCCAGTGGGGACCCCCACCCTGAAGGGGGTGTGACCAGCTGCAAACAGCCATCATCCCCTCATCCAGGCTGGCCAGGCACCCCAGTGGGGACCCCCACCCTGAAGGGGGTGTGACCAGCTGCAAACAGCCATCATCCCCTCATCCAGGCTGGCCAGGCACCCCAGTGGGGACCCCCACCCTGAAGGGGGTGTGACCAGCTGCAAACAGCCATCATCCCCTCATCCAGGCTGGCCAGGCACCCCAGTGGGGACCCCCACCCTGAAGGGGGTGTGACCAGCTGCAAACAGCCATCATCCCCTCATCCAGGCTGGCCAGGCACCCCAGTGGGGACCCCCACCCTGAAGGGGGTGTGACCAGCTGCAAACAGCCATCATCCCCTCATCCAGGCTGGCCAGGCACCCCAGTGGGGACCCCCACCCTGAAGGGGGTGTGACCAGCTGCAAACAGCCATCATCCCCTCATCCAGGCTGGCCAGGCAAGAGGGCACAGCCGGGCTGAGGGACCCCCCTCCCCCCCGAGTGCACAAAATTTTGTGCACCGGGCCTCTAGTAGTGTTATTAATCAGGAGTGTAAGTTACTTCACCAATTTCAATTAGACTAGAAGGTGTGAGGAGGGATTCATGTCTGTCTGTTCACAGCTTTGTACAGTATCTGGTACATAAAAGGTGCTCAAGTAATGGTTTTATACTGACCGAATTAAATAAAAAATAAAAACAAAGTATTAGCTTAGGAATTTATTTAATAACTATTTATTAAGCATTTGCTTTATGCCAGGCACTGTACAAGGGACAAAGAGGTGACCAAGATACAAGACCTTGCCTGAAATTGCTCACAGTCTATATTACCATATGTATAAAAACAACCAACCAACTTTTTTGGTGCTCTTTGACATTGTCATTATACTACTGAATTCTTTGTAATCTTGACAATTATGCCCATGGATGCTGCTTGAAGCCTGACCTCCTAAGCCTCTAATGAGGGGTGAGAGGAAGAGGGAGAACATCAGTTTCCATGTCGTGTATTTAGGCAAGTCCATTCTATTCGGTAGACAACCTTCCGGTCTGTGATGAAAGACATGAGCAAAGAGGAGGCTTTTGTTCACTTTCATGGAGTCTTGTATGGATGTTACCCAAGTCCCCAAGTCTCCTCATGGCCTCTGAATCAGAATTATTGCCCCAGCCCAATCTCAGGGTTGGTCTTTTGGAATTCATCTGATTCAGCGCATAGGCCTCCTGGTCTAAGCTCTCCTCTGGCTATTCTGTGAAAATGGGTTACGGCTGAGGGGACAGTTGAAGAGCATATGAGTCAAATCTGTTTTCTCTGCAACTTCTGCTGAAACAAAAGGATTCTAGAGATTTTAAGATCTCCCCTCCTAGAAATTCCTAACTATGAACTCAGAACTAAGGGAACTATGAAGTGTCCTAGCCATTTAACTCTTTATTTATTTATTTATTTATTTTTTTAATTAAATCTGTAGAGATTTTATCTCCCCTCCTAGAAATTCCTAACTATGAACTCAGAACTAAGGGAACTATGAAGTGTCCTAGCCATTTAACTCTTTATTATTTTATTTATTTATTTTTTTGTTTGTTGTTCACAATTTGTAT